GTAATGTTGGCTCCTGGGCAGATCATGCTAGCAGGTAAATGATCCGGTGATTGATCCAAATGGTTGAAAGCAGGGAGGGCCCTATCTTCCCTTTTACTCACTCTTGCTTCTCTAACTCGCCTACCCTCCATCTCCTGCCTCATACACTGTCCCAGTAATTTGCTGCAGCAGAGATGGAAGCTAAAGCTTCATCAAAGCTGACAAGTGAACCCAAGAGCTGATTATCATGGTTAACCCATTCAGTTATGGAAATACCAATGACGGTGTCTGCCCTTTAGCTTAGCAGTGGTGTGGCTAACATCTGGTTCTGTTAGAATTTTATCAAAAAGGTAAACTTTACCATTAAAATCATGTATCGTCATTCTTCAAAGTGGTAGAAACTGAGGGAAGAAAGTGTCCTATATGGTTAATGACGTCATTTCTGTAATGCTGTTTGGAAATCATTTTATTTTCTTAACAAAAAATACTTCTTTAATTGGATATATTAATCAATTTGCAACAAAGTACAAGTTAAGTGGATACATTTCTTCTCACCAATTAGGCATCCTTTTACTATTTGAGACACTTTGTACCCAGAATCGTGAAACAATTGAGATCTTTTAATTATGGTACCAAGGAACAAAATGATAAGAGATAAAGACATAACAAAGTTAAAAAGTAAACTGCAAGACCAATAGGTGACTGAACCTATAGATAATGGCTGTTTATGACCAGAAAGCTTTACACATTTATATCAGCTTTACCATAATTTGTTTTCTACATCAAAGCCCAAAAATATTAGAAGAAATTACTCGATAACTGCATGGCTGCTCAATAAGAAGGATTTTGATTACAATTTTTCTTTCCCCACTGTTTTAAAAGACAGGGAAAAAAGTGAAAAACTGATAGAAAAGCCTCCAACAAACTTTTTTTCTCTCTCTCTGTGAGATGCTGGGTTGTTAGGCCATACCACCAAGTTTCTCCTTAGGGTTCCTCATTGGAAAATGATGTGTAATCATCATATTTTTATGAGCTGCATTTTAGCAGGAGACCGCTCTCTACTTTATCTATTGGCCAGTATTTTCTTTTTTTGTTTTTGTGTATTTTGTTCTAGAATTACAACTGTAGTGAGCTACAGCCTTAATACAGCTGAAAGGAACGCAAACTGATATTCGTACTTTTAAGAAATATCTTTCACTTCAAACAGAGAAGCAAGTTGTTCCACTTGGTGCTAAACAGATGACATCAGTTACTCTCATCCATCACATTTATTTATTTATTTATTTTAAATTTGAGTACAGTTTTCTTATGCGGTTATTGCACACCGATATGGCAGGGCGACAGTGGCGTTGGATGGAGGAGTTTGCCCTGTAATCGAAGGGTTGACGGTTCAAGCCCCGACTCCGACTTTCATTGTCGTTGTGTCCTTGGGCAAGACACTTCACCTGCATTGTCTACTGATGGTGGTCAGAGGGCCCGGTGGCGCCAGTGTACGGCAGCCTCGCTTCTGTCAGTGAGCCCCAGGGCAGCTGTGGCTACAATGTAGCTTGCCACCATCTGTGTGTGAGTGTGTGTGTGAATGGGTGAATGAATGTAGTGTAAAGCGCTTTGGTCAAGTCTCCTAACTTGAATAAAGGCGCTATATAAGTACATGCCATTTACCATTCACAATGCTGCACTTTTTGCTGCTCTGTATGTTAAATAATAAAATATGTTTAATTAAGCTCATATTCACTGATAAAAATCACTAGTGTCAAGAAAAAAAAAAAACACAAAGTTAGACATCTTTGGTACTCCCTTATTCAGCTGATCATCCTAATTTTAAAAGCCAAATCCTGTTGACACTAACCCTACTAACTTAAAAGGCTCGGTTATTGATAATCGGTAAAAGCCTTGTTCATCCATCAGTTGATCCTGGCAGCTTTGGATTTGCATGTGCATGAGGGTTTCTGCAATTCTTAGTATACCTACAGCATCCATTTGCATTGACCAATACCCGGTGTCCAGCTATAATGTCATCCAGCTGCAAACCCTGCTGATCTACTGGGCCTCTGAAGACCTGACCTCCTTAATGCCACCTCTTATGTCTACTCCTCTGTCTGCATTAAGCAGATAGATTTTTCTTCAGCTTCTATTATTTAGGGGGCTTAATTCTAACACAGGCATTTAACGGTGAATTGAGCTTATTATCATATGGTTAATTATCCTTATGAATAACAACAGCACCACTGAGATATATTTGCAAGTATCTACCAGAATACCTGCTTGCATTAGACCTGTGAATTATGAGTTGGTGGTGATAAGATGCTGAAGAATGGGAGAAGGAACCTGTTAATTAATGTACTGCTAATGAAACATTGGTTTATAATTAATGTTAATTTGATTATACAAAATCTGTGAATGCTGTACTTTTGTTTTTAAAACAAAGCCTGTTTTCCAGTTTCCAATTTGAACTTCATATTAATTAGAAAGGAAGTTCTAATTTTTTTCCCGAAAGTATCCTCTCTTTGCTCTTTTTAAGCTTTCCTTCGGTGTTCCTGGCCAAAAAATCTCCCTGTATTGAGGTTTGTAAAATGGATCAAGTTTTGTTTTTCTTTACACTGGAAAAAACGATCTAGAAATAAGTAAAAATGTCATAAATTAGGTGTATTTACACTTAATTTGAGTAGGTAAATGAGATAGTTTGCCAATGGAATCAGTATTTTTACTCTTAAAATAAGATAATTAGATAATATGCATGTGAAATAAGACAATGCAATTGTGTTTTCTTATTTAAGGTGTAAATTGTCTTATTCCATTGGCAAAATGTCTCTTATCTCCTCAATCCAAGAACAAATGCACTTATTTTAAGAAAAAATGACTTAACTAGATTTTGATTTTTTCCCAGTGTACATCCCTTTCTTTTTTATCTTTAACTGGATTGTTATGGTCACATGTTCTTCTAACAGCTGATCTGGACTGAACTATTTAGACAAGCAACAATTGTAGACATTTTCTTGGTTTCTGACTAAGTTAATGTCTGAGTTTATTTTTACTTTCCAAGCTTCCTAATGAGCAAAGCATTGATCCTATTTTATGTCCACCTTATTTATCTGCCCATTAGCCATTTCTAATTTCCCTTTAGGAACTATGAGCAATAGTATTGAAAACTTTTAACCTTTCTTCTTCAATCCTTATTTATATTCACAGTTAGGAGTTGGTGTAAAAAATGGCTTTACTACTATTCTGAAAAGGTTAGAATCTACCTAAGGAGTATTTGAGAGGTTTCTCTAACAAATATTAACTATGATATTTCTCAAAAGGTTACCACAAGGACCTCTAAGCATCTCCTTTTAGCTCAGCCTACACTGTCACTATGTTTTTTATGTCATCTACAGGTGCTGGTCATAAAATTAGAATATCATGAAAAAGTAGATTGATTTCAGTAATTCCATTTAGAAAGTGAAACTTGTATATTATAGTCATACATTACATACAAACTCATATATTTCAGATGTTTATTTTGTTTAATTTTGATGATTACAAATGACAACAAATGAAAATCTCAAATTCATCATATCAGAAAATTAGAATATTACTGAAGACCAATAAAAACAAAGGATTTATAGAAATGTTGGCCAACTGAAAAGTATGAACATGAAAAGTATGAGCATGTACAGCACTCAGTATTTAGTTGGGCCTCCTTTGGCCTGTATTACTGCAGCAATGCGGCGTGGCATGGAGTCGATCAGTCTGTGGCACTGCTCAGGTGTTATGATAGCCCAGGTTGCTCTAATAGTGGCTTTTAGCTCTTCTGAATTGTTGGGTCTGGTGTATTGCATCTTCTTCTTCACAATACCCGATAGATTTTCTATGGGGTTAAGGTCAGGAGAGTTTGCTGGCCAATTAAGAACAGGGATACCATGGTCCTTCAACCAGGTACTGGTAGCTTTGGCACTGTGTGCAGGTGCCAAGTCCTGTTGGAAAATGAAATCTGCATCTCCAAAAAGTTGGTCAGCTGCAGGAAGCATGAAGTGCTCTAAAACTTCCTGGTATGTGGCTGCGTTGACCCTGGACCTCAGAAAACACAATGGACCAACACCAGCAGATGACATGGCACCCCAAACCATCACTGACTGTGGAAACTTTACACTGGACTTCAAGCAACGTGGATGAAGTGCCTCTCTTCTTTTCCTCCAGACTCTGGGACCTTGATTTCCAAAGGAAATGCAAAATTTACTTTCATCAGAGAACATGACTTTGGACCACTCACCAGCAGTCCAGTCCTGTTTCTCTTTAGCCCAGGCAAGACGCTTCTGACGCTGTCTGTGGTTCAAGAGTGGCTTGACACAAGGAATGCGACAGCAGAAACCCATGTCTTTCATACGTCTGTGTGTGGTGGTTCTTGAAGCACTCACTCCAGCTGCAGTCCACTCTTTGTGAATCTCCCCCACATTTTTGAATGGGTTTTGTTTCACAATCCTCTCCAGGGTGCGGTTATCTCTCTTGCTTGTACACTTTTTTCGACCACATCTTTTCCTTCCCTTCGCCTCTCTATTAATGTGCTTGGACACTGAGCTCTGTGAACAGCCAGCCTCTTTAGCGATGACCTTTTGTGTCTTGCCCTCCTTGTGCAAGGTGTCGATGGTCGTCTTTTGGACAACTGTCAAGTCAGCAGTCTTCCCCATGATTGTGTAGCCTATAGAACTAGACTGAAAGACCATTTAAAGGCTTTTGCAGGTGGTTTGAGTTAATTAGCTGATTAGAGTGTGGCACCAGGGGCCATCAATTTTGAACCTTTTCACAATATTCTAATTTTCTGATATGATGAATTTGAGATTTTCATTTGTTGTCATTTGTAATCATCAAAATTAAACAAAATAAACATCTGAAATATATGAGTTTGTATGTAATGTATGAATATAATATACAAGTTTCACTTTTTAAATGGAATTACTGAAATCAATCTACTTTTTCATGATATTCTAATTTTATGACCAGCACCTGTATACTATTTCTTTTTTTTTCTTTGTCTTTTCCAGGTAGAAGAGCAGGTTTTCTGTGCAGGTCAAATAGCTTTGGTCCCCTGCACCCTCCATTTGGTAAAAGCTGGCCCCTCCGTACAAACCCAGCTGTCCATCAGCCATGTGAAGAAGGTACTGGAAGCTGTGATCCACAACTTGACTCTGGCTCATGTTATCCAGGCCCACTGCTACACCACAAGAAGACAAGATATTGGGAACATCAGAGCTGTGTGGGAAAGCATGTGGAGAGCTACAGAGGAGGAGAAGGTCAGTGAAGGTTTTCATTATCTAATGTATAACTTTGGCTAGTTTGCCCTTTCATAAGTGTTTTTTTAATGTATTTATTTTTAATAGATCCAGAGGACATATCAATGATACTTATACAGCCATGTTTGTTGATTTAATGTTTAATAGATTAAAAGATAAATGAACTCATGCATCAGTTAATCAATGAAATAAAAGGAACTTGCTATGAGAACTGAGAGAAGCCTTTCAGAAGAGTTTTATAGTTGTTAAAAAAAAAGAGCGTGTTTCACGCCCCTCTGTTCCCATGAGACCTGAGCCATTGCTACTGATATTTACCAGTGAGTTCGCTCATGAAAAGTTGATGATGTGGGAAACGCCAGTGTCTTTGATAATGCAGAGCTTGGCACAGAAGCAGATGTCTTCCTCAGAGCTCTGCTAATCCTTTGCCCCCACACACCATTTTGGAGCTGCGTTCAAGTCTCAGAGCAGCTTATCCCCCCTCCTCTTCACCCGTCTCCTTTGCCACCAGCCTCCACCCTTTGCTCCGTTCTCCCGCACTGGCTTACAACCCTTGCTCCGTTCTTCTAATAGGGGCTTCAGTCTCCTTTGGCAGCGCTTCTCCTCCCACAGTAATCTGTCTAACTATGGGAATAGGGCCTCTGGGAGAGAAGCAGGAGCCCACCTCCAACATGTGGTTTGTTAGAGTGCTGAACACTGTTGAAGAGTGTCAACTTTATGTCAGTTCTTAGCACATTATCAAGTCTAACTATATGTAAAATTGTGATCATATTTAAAGTTAGTAATCACATTCATAAAGCTTTGACATGTTTGATGAAAACGTCTTAGTTCCAAGCATATGTTTCCCTAACATACACCTGATAAGAGCTCGAATGGTTATGGGATTCGACTCTTTTTGCCACACTTGGAAATCACAGTTGGATAAATGGAGAATCAAAAAAAAAAATAATAAGACCTGTCATTGCATGTCAAGTTCACCTTATATCTATGCAAAAATATGCACACATTGTTACTTTATCAACTCAAACTTAATATTGGAAGTATTTTATTTGAAGAGTAAAATAAATTAGTTCATCATTTAGAAGTGAATGAAAAAAGGCAAAACTTTTTTTTTTTTTTTTTACAGTCTGGTATGCAGTATTCTTTAAGCCCCCTATGAGTTACTGCTTTGAATCAACCAGCTTTACACATCCAGACAGACATGGAAGTTTTTTTTCCTCATTCTACAAATAACAGCTCAAGCTCTGTTAGTCCTCTCCCAAATTTGCAGTTGCTTTTATGTCTAGACTTTGGCTGGACCTTTCTATGATGTGAATATGACTTCATTTTAGCTATTTCTTTGTTCCGCTGAAAGGTAAATCTCTTCCTGATTTCCAAGTCTTTTCCAGCTTCTGGCTAGTTTTCTTTCAAGAATGCCCCTTTTTTTATTACATTCTTCTCCCCATCTGCTTTTTTTCTGTCCCTGTTAAAGAAAAGCATCCCCACAGCAAATGCTGCCACCACCATGCATCACCAAGGGCATAGTTGGGAAAAATAATCCCTACTCACAGTTTTCCTGCAGGATTTTTTGTCAACTTTAAAACAGGACTTGTGCTGTGACTTGGGTGTGAATACTTATGCACTTTATGCCTTATATAGTTGAATAGATTATGTAAGAGGAAAGTTTTTTATTAGGTATTAAAATTAGATTCATATAAGAGGTCATTTATGATGGCAATGTTGCCCATCTGTTGGGATTCCCTGCAGCATGTCGAAGGAATTTAAAATAAGTACTTAACTGACCCAGGATTGCTACCAAGAGACCACATCCTAAGAAGTAGTTCTTATTGGCAGCTTGAGGTCGCACCTGTAAATGGACTTTGGACTTTATGCCTTTCTTTATTCTAATGTTCGACTCATGTTGCAGTTCAAGGTAGGATCTGTAATTGAGGGAGAAGCCAGACTCAAACGCTTACTTTTTGTAGTCATCATTAGGTTTCTGACATTAATCTGCCTCTTTATTTGATGTAAAAACTTAGTAGTTTATTTAATTTGGTTGATTTCCAAACACAGACCCAGGTTTCAGAGGTTTTTCACAGGGTTAGACGTCAGGGCTTCTGGAAGACTATCTGAAGAAAGGGTCGGTGTTAGCCTGCTTTATTCATTCCAAAACCAGTATTGAAAAATAATTCTTACTAGTACAAATTACCTCAGGTTTCCCATTCATGTGTATTGGGCTTTTGCTTCCAGATATCTAAAATAACATTCTTCCTATCAAAAAATGATTTCTGATGAGGATGAACTCTAATTTCAGAAGGATGAACTCTAATTTCAGATCTCCATTATAGAGTTACTGCTAGTCACAATTATTATTTCAGATTTAAAAAATGAATATAACATTACAGATATCTAGCCAGAAATCCAATTCTTGACATCAAAAATATATTTCTGCTAGTAGAAATTTCATTACAGATGTAAACTACCGGTACTTAAATTACAATTCCAGATATCTCTATTTTATTAATGCCTATCTAAAATTTTGTTTTAGATACTTGCTAAAGAATAATGCGGCTCTGTTTTAACATAAAATAGGCAGGCTGACTAGTGACATTTCTTTTAGAGATAGTACTAAAGCATTCTACCTAGTCACGATTACAATTGTCCTAGTCAGAATTATTGCATTTTAGATATTATTAATCACATTTCTACCAGTAGAAATTATATTTTAAGTAATCTGGAATCAAATTTGTACTAGTAAGTACTACATTAAAGATATCTACAAATCTTAACATCTTTTAGGTGGCTGTTAATATATATTTGCTTGACTGGATATGTATTTCAGATACCTTTAATAGTATTCTTCCAGATATCTGAAATGTAATTCTTACTAGTCCAAATGGCGTCACTTTTCCCCATTCTTATTGGGCAGTTACTTTCAGATATCCGAAGTGACATTACTCCTATCTAAAATAAACAGTCTGGGTGTCTATAAATGATTTTCTGATCTCCGTAATACAACTGTTACTGGCCATAATTTTTATTTAAGATATCAAGAATCAATGACTAAAAATATGTTAGTTCAGATTAACTGTATCTTTCTATCAGGAAAGGTGGCCAAATATCCATTCCACATAAACCAGAAGCTTGTTGATAACAAAAAGAAAAGTATGGATAAAATTTGCTTAAGCAAATTTAACCAAACGGGTAGGATGTATATACATCTCCAACGCTCTGCAGCTTCCTTCTAATATATCACATATTCAGACTTACACCCCTGGTTTTTTTTAAATTGCATCAATTATATTGTCCTCTAATCACTACACCCTGAATACAAGGATTGTTCAAACGAATTAAAAACTTGAAAAATGAATGCATTAAGTTTTGCTGTTAATGTATATAGACTTGTTAAAGATGCACTAAATCCAAAGCGTGCATTTATTGTTCAGCTATGATACTCATATACTAATTTAAAAATATTCAGCCAGTTAATCTAGCATCTATTTACAGTACTAGAAAAGTACAAATCTTTTGGACAACCCCTCTGGGAAGATAATGTTTGGTCTGGAAAGCCCGTTCTCATCTTTAAAGCCACAGGGTTCCGTAGTTGTTGTGCGTTGATAATTTCTCTAATCAGGTGGATGAAGAAGCTTGCAGGGTTAATTGGGAGCATACTGGAGTCGCTACATGTGTGAAATTGTATTTACGCTACATTAAACCACAAAGAGCCTGTTATCAACATGCTTGCAAGAATGTTTAATAAAACACAGGATATGCATGTATGTTAAAAGCCAATAAATGTTTTACCCAAATCCCTTTGTGAAGGTCAAATCAGGTATTATAAAAATAACTCTTGTACCAAGTGTATTTTCTAAATAGCACTGAAAAAAATCTTCAGAGTATTTTAATGGGAGTTTCTTTGTTACTGTGATATCAAAATGGCCACATAATTATAAACTCTTTTACACCCCACTGACATTGCCCCGTGTCTTTTTTACACAAACAATCTAACAAGCCTCAGAGTGGAATTGGAAAAAAATACTGAATAAAAGAGTGGATATGGGGAGGGGATGTTGTAATACAGCAGACTGACAGCGCTACAGTAAGTGTGGAGACATAAGAAGCACATGCTGAAGGCATCCTGCTGGGCAGGAAATGTAGGGGAACTGGCTAAGCTGTGCAGCCCCATCAGCTCCCCGCTGCTCCCCTCCTTTACACCACTTCCTTATTACCGTGTTTACCGTTCGGCTTTCATGCCTGTTGGCCCTCCAACCCACCACACGCTCAAGGCACATGGGCACAAGTTGGAAGGGGTTGGGGGATGAGGAAAAGGAAAACAAACATAAAGAGAAGCAGGTCACGCCCAATCAGTGCAGGGAGCTGAACGCAGCAGATTCAGACTATGCTTTTACCTTGCTACCTACAGAGTGAGAGAGAGAGCACAGGGGGAATGGTGCAAGCCCTGGAACTGAAAAGGCATGTACGGTAGTAATGAGATGGATCGTGTTAAGTGGCTGGCGAGGAGTGGAACACAGCCCTTTGAACACTCACAAACGCACACACTATTGCCTCCTGCCAGCCCTCACATCTTGAATCTCCAGCACTCAGGCTCTATCATATATCAAACTCTGCATTTTATCACATTAATTTAATTAATGATGTCTGATTAGGGAGGAATGAAAGTGTTCCCCTTTTTTTTCAAACTATGGGACATACAATCTCAGTGTTGCATACATTCCTCCATTGATGCACACAGAAGCTTACATCAATTGTAGGCTTTATATTTGGAACCTCATCAAAAAATGTAGTAAAATTCACCTATTGATTTTGTGCACAAAAGTGATATATTTTAAGCTTTTATTTCAAATTATTATGATGATTATGGTTTACATCTGAAAAATAACAACTCAAAATTAGTTACACAGAACTAAAAGAAGATTTTCAATTACGAAATGTTATAGTATCACCTGCAGCTTTGAAGGAAGACTGAACAAACAATCATCAACATCTTTCACAGAGAGAATAAACTACAAAAGTTCATTACTAAAGCAACATACTCTACAGAGTATCCAAACATATAAATGGAAAATGTATATAAGCAGCAGAAAAAGCAACATCGCCGAATTGTAAAACAGAGGCCCTTCAGGGAGATTCTCTGAGGTTAGTGCTTTATAAGCCACTTTACACAGATACACAGGACACGGGCTACATTTCTAATTCTTTATGTTAGATTATTCCTGAAAAAGAAAAGATGCCAGAAGCCAATCACATGGGCAAAAGAGAAAAAAGATATTGGATTGTTTCTAAGTGATCCAATGTCCATTTTTTGGATCAAACAAAATTTGGTCACAGATTCACAGAGAAAGATCTGAAAATATCTTCCTTAACTGACAACCTTTGTGGAGTTTGAACTTGCCTGCACTGCCAAAAGTATTGGTACTTGCTTTAGTGATCAAGGTATATCTGCGTTTGATTGGCCTCGTCTAGGCCTGTTCTGACAATGGAGTTTTGAAAAGAAGATGACGAGACACAAGAACCAACAATAGAAAGTCCTATTAACTAAAAAGCTCCTATTAAACAAACTTGGTCTTCCTCCTTGCTATGTCACAATTGTGCATTAAAATATGCAAAAGAAGGTCTAACCCTTAGCCGGTCTTAAATTTATTTGCTTTTCTGTGATAGATTTGTTTTCACTTTTTATATAAATTTACAGACTTTAATTTTCAGTGCTATTCTAATTCACTGGAATGCCCCAAGTACATATAAAGTCCTGGAAATGTTGGGTGAACTTCCCACCTCCTGCTGAATCGCAGTAGGCAGGTTTGGAGAAAAAAAAAAAGAAACAAAGACTGATATAAACTTATCCGACAGCTCTTATAAAAAGTCAGCAACTGTGCTGTGGCAATAAAATCCTGCCAGAGGCTGAAGCACTATGCTGAAGTCCTCAAATCCCCCTCACAGGCTGCCGGTCGGGTATAGTACCCTGGCACTCAAGGCCTGCAGGGTGGCTTTTAAGCCTGGCTGAGCAAGAACTCCTCATCCTGTCACTTCTCCCCCTACTTTGCACTCTGTTCCATGTTCAATCACTATTGACAAGTCCTGGAGCTGTTCCCTCCAGGAGAATACCTAGCCAGTGCCAGAAGTGCTAATATAACATTTATCAAAGCTCTGGACACGTATATGTGCTGTCACTCTGCCTGACACCCAGACCGGTCTGTGCTGACATGGCTATTGTTATGGGCCTCTTTGATTCCACAACAAACAAGCTCTCTTCAAAATCAGAAAGTACAGACAGTCCTCAGCTAACTCATTCTCACATGCTCATTAACAACACACTGGTTTTTATTGCTGTTTCTTTCATTTCTGTCACAGTTTACTCAAGTTTGATTTAAAGCTAAGTGCTGCTTCGGAGACAGATTGGGTCATGACGTGCCCTGTCCTCTGAAGGGACAAAGGGGCTATCATCTGGTCTTGTCAATGATTTCTTTATGTTTTCTGCGTGCGTTTGAGTATCAAAATAAAATGTAAGCAACCTGTTATTATTCTGCACTTACGAAGTGGGGTGTAAGTGGATGAAAATTGATCCAGCAAATTGAAAAGGGGGTTAAGTGTTTTTGCCCTATTGACTTCGACTGGAATGACGGTTACGTAAAACACTCATTTCTCTCCCATTAGCAGATGAAGCCACAGCCAAGTATCATTAGAAGGCCACATTGTAGCATTTGCTCTAAGATATTTTGTTTTTGATAATAGGCCTTTCCATCCAGAGGGGGAAAAATAAGGCTGTTTCTCTCCCAGTGGATAAAATTAGGCATCTAAATGTAAGGGATAAAACATGTTGTGAATGATCTTCTCAAAAAGGTGAGAAGTCATCTCGTAGAAAGGATCTGTCATTTTGCAAATGCACCTCAAAGAGAATTGCATTTTATTTGTGTTTGCAGACGCTGGAGTGTTTTTGAATTGTTTGTACTCTATCATTACCAAGGGTCATTTCACAGTCTCACATTAATTGATGGGGTGTCAATCTGTCAAGTAAAAAACCTGTCTTAGTGCAGTGTGGTAGCATTTTTCTGATGGGCTTTATAATAACATTGATGGGTTCACGCTTATGTTCAGAAACTGTAACATGCGGCTCAGCATGAGAGCCATGCGTTTGATTGATTGTAGTCTGTAATAAAACACACAGTATGTAATTTCCCATGAGGTTAATTTGAATACCATCTGTCTATTTGCAGGATTTGCTGTGGGAATCTGAGATCAAACTCACGCCGCTGCTCATCACTGTGGTACCTGCCCTACCCAAGGATGCAGCTGTTGAGTTTCATGTAACAGCAGTAAATGATGATCCCTCCAGAAGGACTATCTGGAACAGTACGACAAAGGCAGGGTGCGGAACCATAGAGTGCCACACCGTGCTCTCTGCTGACTGCACTTGTGCCTCGCTATCACTTTCTTTGGTTGCCCACGGGGATGACCTGGGAAATTCTGATGTAAAATGCATCACAGAGGAGGTCTGCAATGCTTTTGTGAAAGCCACAAAGACAGTAGAGGTCAAGCTGGTACCGCAGTGTGCAAGAGTGTTCTACAAGTTCAGCCCCTCCCCAGTTCAGGAGATAGTTCAAGGTACACCTCTAAACACCACTCCACCAATCAGCCATAACATTAACCACAAATATTTCATACCATCTGCTTGTAACCCAATACATAATGAAAGCTTTGTATGGAGACTCTTCTGTAAGTAGAGATGGAAATTTTTGTGTATAACAAGGATTTTCCACTTGTTTATACTCCTTTTAGTGGGATGCAATCGGAGGGACTTGCTTGATCAGAATTTTCTCCAACTTTGTGGATCATACAGTAAATCAAGGCTCACCTGTTACCACAGACTGCCGATCAGCTGGCTGAAAGGAGGGTACAGCCTTTTCCCCTGCTTACAAAAGTGACCAGTTAGGCTTTTTTTTAAAGAATTTCCCCTCTGGACAAACAGGCATGTTGGGGAAACTAAAAGGACTTCACTTATCACTATTAAATAAAGTAAAACAGTTTTAAAACTACGGTTCGTAAGATATACTCATAACAGTATTTTTTGCAACAACTGTAAAATAACGTAATTTCTTGAATAACTTATTCATTCAGTTGATACCTTGATAAGCAATCGCCCCATGCCTCATGATGACCTTTCATAGTTGCTTGGGCCATAAACTTTGAGTTTATGCCCCCCCCCTTACATACAGAAATAAATTTAAAGGTATAATGGAGAATTTTCGTGAATTTTTTAAAGGACCCATACTCCACACTACACTAAAATTATTGCTCATGGTGGTGGAACATTGGACACAAAATAGGACCAATGCTTCGCTCATTAAGGTATCATGGAGGATTTTAACTTATTTTTGAAAGTACCCGCCCTCTCCGCTTAAAAAAAAAAATGCACAGCCCTGTACCCGTTTCAGAGAGGGAACACCTATTTAAACGTGTGCGAGAACATGCAGGAGCCCATTTCTCCTCGTGCACGCTCTGTTCAAGAGTTGCTGTTTGCATCGCCCACACAAGCTTACTTTCCAAAAGAAGATTAGCAATTTTTCCACTATATCAAACTCACCACCGGTAAGTAAAAATGACAACAACCACGAAGGACAGCCTTACGTAAACATATCACTAGAATGGTTGACAATTAGGAGGACCGTTTCTTTTGATGATCCACCCAGAAAAAGAACATCCTTCACCATACCTTTAATATAATAATATAATGGAAATACATATAAAACTAACAAATGATACATTGCCAACAGTTTCTTTGGGCAGTCATAAAGGAAATCAAAAAGGCCATGATAAAGGGTTTCATAAGGGTTGGCCTATCCTCTTCTGTAACAGCTTCAGGGCTCAGTGATGAAGGGTGCACGTACGTACTGCCGCAGACACTGTATCTGCAGCTTTAATACTATCTGCTGCTTTTCCCCCTCTATCTAATATTCTGGCCAACTCTAGGGGGTGTGTCTACAGCACAGACCTCGAGCCTTCAAACTTTTCAAAGCATCTTCTTGTCAACAAAGACTGACAGTCAATTATTTTCAAGAGTTTTTCACATTTTGTTTGTCATGGTGATATTTATGGGCTAAATCACAAGAAGTCGCTCAATGTTTACATTTGCAATCCCTACCCTTGTAGGAGCTGTCACCTGTCCACAATTTTTTTTGTGTGGAGCTGTTGCCATAGTTACAAATTTTCCTAAGTATGCAAAGTGGAAAATTTGTCCACTCGGACACAATTTGGAGTTGTGTGGAACCTAAAATTACGTAATTTGGCCATGATTACCTAATGGAAACGTCAAGCTTTAGTGTCTCTGATATGACTCAGGAGAACCATCCTTTCAGGAAAGCATTTGTGGGGTCAGACACTGAAGTGTTGCCCACAGTCTCACATGTCGAGGATATTTTTAGGTTCAGGTCAGGATTTGTTTAAACCAGTCAGATTCTTCTACACCACCTATTTCCTTAACCTTGTATGGTGCATAGTCATATTGGAACTAAAGAAGCCATCTCTAAAATGTTGCGGTTAGTGAGGTTCCTAAATGCTGAAGTATTTAGATCCCAATCACTTCCATCCTTTTTCCATTACACTTATCCCAAGTGGGGTCACGAGAGGTGCTGGTGCCTATCTCCAGCTGTCTATAGGCAAAAGGCGGGGTACACCCTGGACAGGTAACCAGTCCATCGCAGGCCAACATAAAGACAAACAGGACAAACAACCATTCACACTCACACTTAATAAGAATTTATAGAAACCAATTAACCTAACAGTTATGTTTCTGAACTGTGGGAGGAAGTTGGAGTACCCGGAGACAACCAACGCATGCTCAGGGAGAACATGCAAACTCTATGCAGAAAGACAAACCATCTTGCTGCAAGGAACCTTCATGCTGGGAGGCAGCAGTGCTACCCACTGTTGGTGGGTTCTCACTGAACTCTGGTGTCTCTGAAGGCTCTGGTGGAACCCAGGATGCCGATCCTGTGTTTTGGCTTTCCACCTTAAGTACAGTGATGTTAGGATAAAATTGTTGTTTGCAAGAGATAGTGAAAATGAGACCAGCAGGCAAACAGTGTCTTTTGTTGTGAACGCAGCTTCAAATCCCATAATCCTTTTTAGGTTAGCTTTGTAAATTCTATGTTAATGTATAGGTCTATTAATAGAGTTTAAATGTAGATTACTTAGAAAAAAGTCATTAGGGTGTTGTTTCTACACACGTTGTAGATGGAGCTGGTGTGATGGCTGATTGGTTACAGGTCAGCGTTTTCTGCAGCCGGAATCTTAAAAGCTGTTTCTGCTACATTTTATCTTACATCTGGAAAGTGAAAGAGAGCTTTGAGAGCTAAGACTAGACAGTATTTAATCTTTTTGACCATAGCTGCAAACTTTCCAACTTAAGAGATCATATGGAGATGCAATGAACTTTATAGAGGGAATTGGTAGAACCAAAGCTGATAATTAAACCAATAATTAAATTTTATTGATCTCAGATTGGAGAAATTTACCTCTGCATTTAACATCCCCTTGGGGAGCTTTGGGCTGCCATTGTGCAGCGCCCGGGGAGATATTAAGGGGTTAAGGGTCTTGCTCAGGAACCCAGAGTGGAGGCAGTGGGATTTGAACCGGGTACTTGCAACTTTTTCAGAACACAAGCACACTGCTATAACCCACTAGGCCAAACAGCTTTATATTTAAAGGTCCCTGGAGCTCACAAGATTAGGCCATTCTTTCAGAAATACACTATATTGCCAAAAGTATTTGCTCACCTGCCTTGACTCACATATGAGCTTAAGTGACATCCCGTTCCTAATCCATAGGGTTCAATATGACGTCGGTCCACCCTTTGCAGCTAGAACAGCTTCAACTCTTCTGGGAAGGCTGTCCACAAGGTTTAGGAGTGTGTTTATGGGAATTTTTGACCATTCTTCCAGAAGCGCATTTGTGAGGTCGCACACTGATGTTGGACGAGAAGGCCTGGCTCTCAGTCTCCGCTCTAATTCATCCCAAAGGTGTTCTATCGGGTTGAGGTCAGGACTCTGTGCAGACCAGTCAAGTTCATCCACACCAGACTCTGTCATCCATGTCTTTATGGACCTTGCTTTGTGCACTGGTGCACAGTCATGTTGGAAGAGGAAGGGGCCAGCTCCAAACTGTTCCCACAAAGTTGGGAGCATGGAATTGTCCAAAATGTCTTGGGATGCTGAAGCATTCAGAGTTCCTTTCACTGGAACTAAGGGGCCAAGCCCAGCTCCTGAAAAACAACCCCACACCATAATCCCCCCTCCAACAAACTTTACACTTGGCACAATGCAGTCAGACAAGTACCGTTCTCCTGGCAACCGCCAAACCCAGACCCGTCCATCAGATTGCCAGATGGAGAAGCGCGATTCGTCACTCCAGAGAACGCGTCTCCACTACTCTAGAGTCCAGTGGCGGCGTGCTTTACACCACCGCATCCGACGCTTTGCATTGCACTTGGTGATGTATGGCTTGGATGCAGCTGCTCGACCATGGAAACCCATTCCATGAAGCTCTCTGCGCACTGTTCTTGAGCTAATCTGAAGGCCACATGAAGTTTGGAGGTCTGTAGTGATTGACTCTGCAGAAAGTTGGCGACCTCTTCGCACTATGCGCTTCAGCATCCGCTGACCCCGCTCCGTCAGTTTACGTGGCCTACCACTTCGTGGCTGAGTTGCTGTCGTTCCCAAACACTTCCATTTTCTTATAATACAGCTGACAGTTGACTGTGGAATATTTAGGAGCGAGGAAATTTCACGACTGGATTTGTTGCACAGGTGGCATCCTATCACAGTTCCACGCTGGAATTCACTGAGCTCCTGAGAGCGACCCATTCTTTCACAAATGTTTGTAAAAACAGTCTGCATGCCTAGGTGCTTGAATTTATACACCTGTGGCCATGGAAGTGATTGGAACACCTGATTCCAATAATTTGGATGGGTGAGCAAATACTTTTGGCAATATAGTGTATTTTCCGAAGCAGTCCGCATTCACTGGTGCTTGACTTTAAACACCTGTAGTCATCGAAGGGGTCGAAACACCTGAATTTATTTATGACTGTAGACCCAGTTTCTTCCAAACATCCCAACAGATTATAAATGACACCAGCAGGTTACTTTTTCATCTCTACGCTTCTACAGTCATCTATGTTGTTTGCAAACATCTTTATGAATACCAGAGTAGAATGTTTCCCAGCTTTGAACTGTTCCATAAGCATCATGCTTCTCGTCCCGTTAGTGTTTTATTAGCTATCACTAATTAATGTTGACGGCAGATTTAAAGTGATCTAATGTTTTCACTTATGAATAGGATTATTCCCATAGAAGCCTTCCTGTTACATATAACACCTCTGCCATGTTATAGTTTTGCAACACGAGCTCCATAACACTCTATTAATGGAAGCAAAGTGTCAGCCTGTCTTTATCTGTCTTCTGTTGTCAGAAAAAAAGTTTGAGCTGACATTAGTTTAGCCAACATGAAGTATTCAAGGAAGCAGTGCTCCCCAGATGATCTCCTCCGCTTCCTGTGTTTAATTATTGTAAGCCATTTGTTGTGTCTTCAGTGTGTACAGTAACCCAGGCAGCTGGCACGGTCTTTTGTCATCATTACACTTTTATACGCCGCCATCTCCGGCTCCCAGGATTCTAGGATCTCGTCGAGGCAAAGCTTGGAGCGGTGTTTGTTTTATCCTGAAAGATGTTCTCTCTGAGAGAAAAGGGCGATGAACACATCGATCACACGGATTCAGCTGTCAGGCCAACGCCAAAGCATTCAATTAGCATTTCTGAATCTTTGCCAAACCAGCCGTCTTTCAGTCATTTTTAACTCTGACATTACGTATCGGTCTTGTAACGTGGAATTATGGTAGCCAGTGATGAATAAAAAGAAGGTCAGTGTGTTTAGAATATGTATTTAAATGCTTAACAGGCAAACAGTGCTATATGCGTAGTTATCTAATTATATAGCTACTCGTTACTGAGCATTTATGATGCTTAATATGATGCTTGATATATTTAGCAACCATTTTATCAAAATGTTTTTTTTCTTTATATATGTTCATATAGTATATAGCAATAAAAATAGGGCTGAGCTTTTGTTGCATTCTCTATCTATGATTCTTTAGATGTTAAATACTTAAGTAACATTTTAGGACCAGCTTCTTAACAGGTAAAAATATATATATTTTTTACATGTATGTTTCTTTGATCATGGCCAGAAAAAAAAAAGCTCCCCTGAAACCATATATGAACTCTTGCCTGAGATTAAATCTATTACCTTGTGATGCTTACACAGCCAGGCCCTGCTAGCCAACCCACCGGCATCTTTATGGGTCAAAGCTGATGCTCATCGGGTGATAAATCCAAAAAGTCAAAGGCGGAAAAGTAACACCTCTGGCGCCCAGCAGTCACTGCCTTACTATTGTCGCTGTCACTGCAGGGACGTAAAGCGGAGCCAAATATGAATGTACAGCCCCTCCTTCTTTTTTGCTGAAGGATTTGCAGTTGATGGACGTGGCATATGGCTCAAATGAAACCTTTAAACATCTTGTCTCAACTTGTTACTTACGATAGAAAGGATTTTCCAATATATGACTCCTAAGCTTGAGAAAATCTTAAGTGTTTGTTTGGACGAAAACAATAAAACTTTGTGATCATAGAAGGAGCTTTTATATAGATAACAATAGGAATGTATTTTTGTGAACTACATGATCTGATGTTTACCTTTTATATTTCTTGGCTTTTTTTGACAGGCAAATAAGGTAGAACAAAATTGTGAAGTGGAACAAAAATGAAACAGGGGTCTGTATGACTAAATGTGTTCAGGATAAACATATTTAAAGGAGGGTAACATTATAAAGCAATAACAAAGTTTGGAGGAGCTACAGAGATTGACAGCATAGATGGACACATCTGTTTGCAGGATGGCTATCCGTTATACAATCTGCAAATTATGTGTTTATGGAAAATTTAAAGAAAGCAATTGCACGTCTTGTTTGCCAAAAATTGTGTTGAAAATACCGAAAACAAATGGTAGAAATGGCCCTGGTCAAACAAGACCTAAACTGAACTTTTATGTCCATTATTAAGGCAAAATTGTTTGTATTTTTAACCTTCATTCAAAGCTACTTAAAATTTTTGCACTTTTATAGTCACCAAGGAAGTTTCTTCCAGATTAGTGGAGCATAAGAACTAAATGCTGCTTTTTCATTTTTGGTTAATATACTCACTTAACTTGGACCAGATGACCTGAGGAGATTAAGGGGTTGATGCAATGCAGGTCACAACAGGTATGTTATGTATTTTTGTTCTAAGACTTTAATCCATGTATAAACTAACTGGGGAAGAAAACTACCACTTCACATCACACGGAAGTGAAAGGTGGTTGTAGGAGACTTTTCTTCAGTCGAGGTTGAGAACCTGGTCACAGCTCGTTCTTATATGGTGAATTTAATTACAAGACCGCAACTGTGAGCATACTCCCAGATTATCTCTGCATTTCCTTTCACCTCTGAAAAGAGATGCAGTTGAAATTGTACTTAAAAGGCGGTTCATCAAACTATTCACTAAGGGACACTGAATATGCTTGCATACCTTACTTCTCTCTCACTCTTTATTTCCAACAATAAATGGAAAAACATGTTTGGTGAAGATCGAACAGCTCAAAACTTTCAGTGATTGTCCAGAGGGTCCACTCTATAGCAGCCATTAAACTGCAAATCATAATTTATTATTGTTCAGAAAAAAGGCATAAAAAAGATGAACACAAGTGCCACTGCTGATTAAAAACTGATTTGAAAACATATATAGAACAAGAAGGAATATTTTGTCTTCGTGTCTATGATTAGATTAATTGCCCAAATGTCATTGAAAATGTATTTAATTTGCCTCTCTCAGACCAATTTTGTCCCTTTGGACTACATCTCTATGGACCTAAAAAAGGAAGTCATCATTATTCCAGGTTTATGGACATAAGGACTGATATCTATTGCTTCTATTTCACTTTCAAAGTAAAAAAAAAAAAAACACAACAACAAGACAAAATTGGTCATTTATGTCACCTTCACCCATTTCATTGTCTCCCTTTCATCAACATAGACCTGCCGGCGAGCTCAGGCACTAAAAGCGACTCAAAGAGAGTGCAATTATTTCTCATCCGGTGGTATAAAGATTAAAACACTCAAACATTAAACAGGCTTAGTGTGCAAGGTGTGATGAAGGGTTTGTTTCTTCTCCTAATGAAGCCATCCCCACTCTGTGATGTCTTTGGCCCGTTCAGTTGTCAGCCAGCTTTCTCCAGAGGGCCCCGCTTCCCGTGATGCTCTGATAACACATATTTAGGCTTTTTATACCGTCCAAAAGAGTCTGTGTTCAGTGGGGGCATTTTGGCCGTGGTGCATATTGGCTAATTAGAGTTGTGGGTTCTTTGTTGGGGAATTTGGCATGCTGTGTGTGCATCCAATGAGAGAGAATGAAGCTTATTAACAGCCTAACAGCTCCTGTAACCTCTGTGTTCTGACTTTACTTTCTGCAAGTTACACAAATGTCACAAAATATGGCAAAGTAACAGCAGATGTTAGTCAATAATGTGGCTTTTTTTGCCTTTAAAGTTTATTATAGAGGTGATGCAGAATATAATATTTCTCCGTCAAAATCACACTAGTCACATCTTAGTCTTTAGCAATAGAAGGGAGAATGTTGGACAGGAGACAGGGAAACTATTGTGACTAATTAGTGCAACATCCCAGCTGCCTGCTGCTAAACAGACAGACTGTCATCGGCTTTGTCTCTGATGTGCTCAGGGAATACTCAGAAGTCCACTGTCCGTGCAGTCTAGCTGCAGAGACATCAACACATTTACAAAAAGGATCAATTTTACTAGATGTCACCGGCAGCATTCCATGCAACAGAGTCAGGGATGCACCTTTTAAAAGTGACTTAAATGTGATATGTGGCTAAAGGTTTGATACCTTGAACTTTCTCATATTTTGCCACCTTGCAGCACAACTTTAGCTGCTTTTAGTTACAGTTTAACAGAAAGTAGCACATTACTGGGAAGTGGTATAAAATCTGTATTTTTATTTATTTATTTTTTTTTTACAAACAACAGGATCCCTTTAAGTTAATACTTTGTTGAATAACTTCTATAGAAATTAAAGACTCAAGTTTTGAGGTAGGTCTCTACTAGATTTCAATGCAATCTACTCTGAATAGGGATTCCCACAGCAGGATGCTGCCATGTTTCCTTGGCGGATATTTTATAGTTTTCCTTTACCGTTTTCCAACTTTTCCTAAAGTTTTAATTATGGTCTGATTAATCCAAATATTGTATCTAGTATATAGCTATATATTGTATGTTTTATATTGTATATAGCTATTGATTATTTTTTCTGTATATATATCTGCACCATCAACACCAAGTCAAATTACTTGTAAATGCAAACCTTCTTGGCAATAAACTTGATTCTGATGAAATGGAGTGTTGGAAACTTTAGCAGGACTGCTTATTGGAATCCTTGAAGACTGGACGGAATTTGCAACCACTAGTGGTCCTGTTGACAGACTCCCCCATCGTAGCGGTGGATCTCTGAAGTCTCTTGGCTGCTTCTCAGAATCTTCTTCCCCTCAACTGTTCATCCAGTGTTAGTTGGCCTCCATATCTTTAGTAGTTTTAGGGTTGTGCTGTGGTCTTTTCATGTACGGAGCAGAGATTGAGCAGTGCTCTGTGAAATGTTCAAGGTTTTGGATGCTGAACTATACCCTAACCATGTTTCTAGCATAAGCTAAAAAGCTTTATTCATTTATTGACATAAAATAAGACATAAGTGGATTCTGTTAATTCACTTCTAAAGGCTGTTAACTGCACTGTATTGTATTATTGGGTATTGGACTCAAAGGGCAATGCAAATTCACTATTATTTACCTTCTCTTTTACATAATGTGATACTGTTTGTTGGTCCACCACATATGTCACTAAATTTGTGGTTTCATGAATACATTTTGAATTGCACTTCACTTATATGAACAACTTCAGGTTAGGTTCTTATAGATATTATTTTTATTTCTGTCTTCCAGGACTTGAAGAATGTTTTCGAAGCCGTTTAGCAGAATCCAGCCCCTCGGTGGCCTTGGTTCCAGTCCTGGATCTGCCCGACTCTCAGATCCTCCACTTGTCCTGCTGGCTCAGTTTATAGAAAAACGGCCATAGTTAAGGGGAAGATTACCATGACCCACGTCGGGATGAATCAAAGCGGCTTTTCCGGAAAAGCAACTCTTTATGTGGATAACTTTGTACTTGAAGAAAAACATGAGCAAACAGGGGAAAGAAAATTCTCTATTAGTTATTGCAGTGTTGCTGCACATCAGTGACATATTCAAAAGATTGAAAGTGTGTGTTTTTGTTATTGTATTGACTTTGCAAACCAGAAAACTCTTTTTTTTTATTCCAACAGACAATAAACTCCCTCCTATGATATCCTACTGTTTCTGGTGGAATTTCTCTGACACCACTCACAACATCTGAGCCCCACCTCTGACACTATGTCAGCTGCAGACCTATAGATTTACTGTGTCACTGCTTTGGAGCTGTGTGTAATGTATTTGTATGAGCCGAGCCAGTTTCCCTCTCTCTCTCTCCCTCATGCTCCACGGGGCACTGGGTGTGTTATTATTGTGTAATAGGCAATCAGCACCAAGCACCTGAAAAGATTAAGCTTCTTTATATTTTCTATTGATTCCAAGGCAGCCTGGTTAATAGAAGAAGGACACTAGGACACAAAGCTGCAGGGCAAGTGTGTGTGTGTGGGATGTCAAGGGATGAGATGTAACAACGTTGAAAGAAAATAACACCATTAACCATTGGGCCTGGAACATTCTGTTTTGTGAAGATCATGAACCGTATTGATAATCCAAGTTTGAATTCTTCTTCACTCTGGAGCAATCTGCTCCAGCGTGCTCGCAGAGTGAAGAGGGCTATTGATCTTCACCCACTGCAATGTTGTTTTGATTGTTGTCATCAAAAATTGAACAATGGAGGCAGCCAATAGAGCCTTAAGACTTTTATTGAGGTTTGAAAAAAATACAAACAAGCAATTATTTATGGGAGCAAGCATTTGATTCTTCTTGAATATATAACTATAGATGTTTGTTTTTTCTGTACATTGAAATCAAAGTGGAACCAAAAGACTTGGCTTGCAAAGCAGATTGTTATTCTTCTTTTGCTGTCAAATATTGTAGTGCTTCCTCCCTAAAAGATGAACATGACTCCATTTGGAGTCAATGTTATTTTGTCTATTTCCAATGTTTCTATGTTTATATGGAATGAAGTTGAAGAAAAAAGTGATTTTCTTATCAGCACCTTAAAGGCCCGTCCCCTATATGTCTCACATATTAATTACCTCCTTCAGAGTCCTTCAGAGTTTTGGTGTTTTGCCATTTATATAAAAAAATCTTTTTACACACTTGGGAAACATTTAAAACCTGCTGGGCCCGGCACATTAAGGACCAAACATGAATACAATTGTTTGTGTCTATAAGGCTCACTGGTGGTTAAACAGACCCACAGCATAATATTGCCATTACCATGTAATGGTACCTAGCTTGTCCATGTGGTTAGTTGTAAATTTAACCTTTACCTGAAAATGTTTGTTGTTTTTTTTGTTTTGTTTTTTTAAACTCTGGCTTTATTTTTTTCTTTGGTTAACTTGGAAATATTCACTCCTATGAGTTATTTTGTTAAATAAAAATCATTAGATAATTACTTTTACATATTAAGTGGCAAATTTACTAGGTTATAAGGAGTATATCTTAAAGTAGCAAGTGCTGGTGAAGCTTCTCGGTCATCCAGGTCATAGTCATTAAAAAAAAGATTTTTTTTTTTTAAATTGAATTTTAATTGAAAAAGCTCCCTGGATGGGAAGTGAAACATCTTCAAACTTGGAAACAAAAGTCCAGTAGCAAATATAACATAAAATGTCTAAAAATAAAAAGTTTAACCCAAAGATTTCAGCCAGGAAGTAACTGCTCTGCTGAGCCATTCAGAACAAAAGAACCTTACAACAAGAAAACAGTGGATTAGTTCCTTAGATCTAACTATATAAACCCTAATTATCTTTTTTTCTGTTTAAAAAGCTTTAGTAAATTTTATTTAGAGCAGCTATTTGTGCAGCCGTGCAGGATATGGAGTATGAGAAACTGGTGAAAAGCCAGGAAAGCATCCTCGATGTGATGCAGTTTGTACCACTGCTGCTTTGCAACATGGAGATTCTTGGTTTTTAGGTCTTGATGGTTTATACACATCTAAATGTGATACTCTACTGATGGAATTTGAGTAGATTTGAGATGATTAATAGTATAGGCCGTTTTTAAAGTGTTACCTTGGTGTTTCAGGAGTTTCCAGGTCATGGGAGATATAAGCCTTCTAGAATTTTTATTTGTCCCTTAACATCTAAAACCTTTTCCCACATAGTTGGCGTCAGATAATTGGACCTTGGGCAAAACCAGAATGTGGAACAGCCCTGATCTCAGGTCAGTTCAGATTCATGGAGCATCGTTATCGTCTTGGTCTGTCCCTGCAAATTAACCAGTTAAAGACCACCATATTTGCCAGATGACTTGTCACAACTTTTCCCCGACTAAGATGATTGTTAGAAATTGGTATTTTAGGAGTGCATCCTACTAGAACACATTTACCAAATATTTCTAAGGCTTCATATTTAAGTTTTAGCCTTTATGGTGAATTTTGATCAAGTGTGGATTAGAGAAAATCCCCACTATTCACCAAGTTATGGTTGTTAAATGTAACGATCGGAGGGGCAAGAAAATCTTTAAAACACAAATATCTGCTTAATGCTTATGAAGAACAGATTTGCATGGCTGATCAGAATTATACAAAGGTAAAAAGGATAAGTTTATGTTCATTTTTAAAGGCTAGATTTTTTTTTTTTTTGCTTGCATGTCCAACTTCCAAAATCATCCTCAAAACCATTCATGTGTTTTGTCAAGAATGTGCAAAATAAAACATGGATATTAAAAAGTATTTCTGTAATTTTCTTTTATTTTTTATTTTATTTCCTTCCTTCTAGGTCTTTTTTTTCCTTGAAATTATACAAATATATATGGATGGATGGATGGATGGATGGATGGATGGATGGATGGATAGAATTCCAAGTACCGGTATTCATTTATTTGTTTTTGTTTTTTTGTTTGTTTTTTACAACCTCAATTAAAATGATCTTTAAAGTAATAATTTTCCCCATCCCATAATAAACCTAATAATCAGTCTTTTATTAAACATGTTTACCTACACACATCAGCTAAGCCACAGCCATGTCTTCACATCCTCATCTGCACCAATGTGATGGCCTGTGGCAGACATGCTTTTTGTGTCCTCACCACTGGGCTGCTTTACAAAATGAATAAAGACAGGGTGACATTTATCTTTTTTTATGTGTTTTGTCAAATGTACATTTTCTACCAAGCTGACCTGCAACCACTCCACAATGAAATGGGCTTTTGTGGCTAGTATTGTCCTTTGTGTGGAGTCGACCAGCCTGCGGCCCTTGTCATTGTGGCCTTGCACATGGACTTTAACTGTGTTTCTACCTCCAGGCAAACCCTGTTGATGTGTGTATGACTTTTTGTTTCCTCCCGTACACAAGTGGACTGCAGTTGGGTTCCCTAGCTCAGGAGTCGCCTTGTCACAGCATGAGATGCAGCCTCCTCACATTGTGGACCTCTTGCCTCAATGGCTGAGGTTTTTATTTTTTATTTTCAAGTTGGAATCCTTTCTGTTTCATAATCATTGCTTTCCAAGATAAAGTGATTGCGCAGCATATCTTATCAATCACAATATTCACTTGATGAAACTTTGTTTACTGAATGCTGGTAACCTCATGCTGTTCAGTGGTGTTTGCTTCCCTCTTGTGGCCACGTGAAGTACTGACGTTTTAACAAAACATATATTCCTCTCACAAAATTGTTAAATATAAAAAAAATCGTAAATCTTGTTTACAGAATAATTAAAGTAAAGATATATGTTCTATTTCACTTTGTTTTTGTTTTAAAAGTTCTAAGCAATTTCCTAAGGGATTAGAGAATCTGATGTTATTTTTTAGATGAGAAAAACTAAATAATTAACCAAATTCTTTTTGCAACCTTAAAGAAAACACAAAAGATCCAAAACTGTATATATAAGATTAAAATGTGAGTAGGAGTAAGAATGAAAATAATTAAGACCATGATGTACTTGTTTTCTTCTACATTTGTGACAACCACCAGTTGCTTAGCCACATTTAATATGTCAGCATATGAATGGACAAAAGTTAAAAAGCAAAACAGACTTTTAGATGGTTTCAGATAATAGCATCGTGCTAAATAATTAATAATCATACCCACAGTGAATAGAGCCAAATATCAAAAAACATGTTGAAGAGGTTCTATTATCTGTTTTGATGGTTATTGGGACACATTTTCACTTTGCTATATTGTTCTGTATTTCTCTTACTATCTGCCTTTGAAACAATTCAGCAAACCATCCCATCCCAGTCCACCTATGGATATGATCAAAATCCAGTGCTTTAATCGTACATGTGTTGCTGTTATTTTATCCTCTTTATTTTAGTTTGGATTCAATTTTACCTTCTCAAAAGTCCATTGATAGCGACAGTTGCTCTAAAATTTTCCAAGCTGCATTCATTGCATACCACTAAAAATGGTTTTTAATTGTCACTTATCAATAGAAAATCATTAAAATATCAGCTTAAACTATTTTTCTGTGTTAGTTCTTTGTACCATTGAGTTTTAAATTGTTTTGCAGTATTATAGATATTTCTGTAAATGCTATTATTTTGTTTCTCATAATGCTCTGTAAGAACTCAAAAATCTAAAAAATTATTATGCTATTTTTAATGTCCTGATGAAGGTTCTCAGTCATCCAGGTCCTAGTCATTCCGTAAAAATAAAAAAAATATCCAAACGTCTTTAAATCTTGAAAAGCAAGTCCAGTGGATATTTTTTGAATTTTTACGGAATATTTTTAATGTCTCTCTTTTTTAGTTCAGTTGTCATTAAAAAAAAACTGCCTGGTACGTGGATAATATTTAAATTCAGTTGGCAAAAAAAAAAAAAAAAAGTTTTAATATACTGCTGTAAAATTAGGTTTGCCATGGAGTGGAAAAGCTCATTTTAAAAACAAACTGATTTCACCTTCTAAATGCCTAGCGGAACGAAAGGAGCGGAACCTTTGTAGTTGGGGACGATTTTAGGAAGGTACCATTCAGGAAGTTAGACGCATCCAGCGCGTTTTATCACGCTTATGTTGAATAAACATAATAACGGTTAGTAAGCTTAATATTGACTTTATTTCCGAAACTGTTTTAAATTTCACTTTCATGGCTCCTAGCGTTGTGGATTATTTGACTTTTGAAACTGAGATCACAAACTTCTTCGCTCTTTCAGTCTTTATTTACATTAGCATTGCTGTTTCCATCACGCCTGAATAGCCGCTATTCCAGAAGCCCTTTTTTGCCGCAAATTCTTCAGCTTCAACAAATATTGTATCAATATTCTGCCCGTTTCATTTAAGCTTTCATCTTATTTTGCATGGCAGTAGTTTGAGATGGCTACCAAGGAGAAAGAGACTCCAGCTAAAAAGGTTGCAGCGCCTTCAGTGTCCCAGATAAATGCTGAATATGTCACACAGGTAAGCCCGCATATCAACACGTTATATTCGCACTTGCTTTTGCATAATCTTGTTTACAAACTACTGCAAATATGTCTATACGCTTGTTTATATAACTGTTCGTTTGTTGTTTCCAGCTCGCTAACAAATATTGGGCTCCTCATGTAAAGGAAAAGCTCCCTTTTGAACCTCAGGTGAGTAATGGTTTCCATATTAGGACTTCTGTTAATGGTGAAATATTAAAATGCTGTTTATTCATAGCATCAGTTTCCATTTAAACGGTCTCCCATAACACAATATGAAGAAAGGATGTGTGGTATTGTTAAAGTCAATGATGGCACTGTTATTGGTAAATATAGTAATAGTTCATAAAGCCATATTTAATAAATCTACATCATTCGGAGGCAGTTGAATGGCATGTTTTTTTGTTTGTTTTTTTTGTGCAAAATATGCTTAATATTTGCAATCACCAGTGGAATCCACCTAT